GGGGGGGGGGGGGGGGTAAGGAGATGCTTTGAGCTAGAACATTGGATTCCTGGTGCGCGGGTCCCCGGCGAGCCTGCAAGGCCAAGTGCAGTGCCATGCCGCCTTGAGACACGGCGCGGCGCGTGGCTTAGGAGTGTGGCTTGGGGCAGTCCAGGGTCGGCTGTTCTGATGCGTGGGTTTATTCGGTGGAAGGCAGGCAGCTAGGTAGTAGCTTCCCGTGTCAGTGCTTAAGACTCTTTCGAGTGCTGCATGGCTCAGTGCGACCGTTCTCGTGTTCAGGTTTGTTGTGCGATGGTGGCATCGGCAGATTTGGGCTGCAGAACAGTTCGAGCTGCGATGAACGACGGCTCGTATTGCTGAACTGCCTGTTATCTGGGCATGGCTCCAGACGCAAGCAAGAGCCATCACCCCGATGCTACGCCAGCTCCTCGACCAAGTCACTGAGGTAGGGTGAGATCCGGGCGAAGACATTGGTATAGAGCGGCGGGGGAGGCCACCACGGCTCGTCCATCCTTGACAGTGTAAAGACAACAACACATCGACAAACCCTTAAGTGCTGCAGATTGCTTGGAGAGGAAGTGGGTGGCAAGGAAGCATGGCTCCCAAAGCAGAGACCTAAACCCCGGCAGAACATGGCAGAACCCTGGCCCCTGAACCATTACTCTGAAGATATCCGAACCTCCAAGCCTAAATGCCCTTGGGCCCCAGAGCCTTGAGTCATGAAACCCCTGAAAGCCATCGGGCGCTTCCCGCCAGGCTGCATCTGCGGCGGTCCGAAGACCCACCAAGCCCGGAGCCCGAGACTCAACTGGGAAAGGCCTGAAAGCTCTGACAGGGGACTCCTTTCAATGTGTGGTATAAAAGATGAAATAGTGTAGAATGCAATATAGTACAGCGCCATGTAATATCAAACAACCTCATATGATACGAGATGCTTTGTAGAGCAGAAGACTAGGTGAGGTCAGACAAGATAAATCAAGATGAGATTAGATCTGAAAAGGTCAGGTACGAGGTAAGATAGGGTGATATAAGGTAATATTAAAATATAGGGTAATCTATGTTCAACGACACGATCAGAAGATCATGCAAGATCCTATGGAGCAATATAGGGAAAATAAGGTGGTATAAGATTATGTAAGATGGTAGAAGGGCATATGAGATAACATCACATGATGTTGACATAGCATCGCATCGTATAAGATATAATGTATCGTAATTTTTTAATGATAGGCATGACAGCATCGAGAAAGTATATAGGGCTGCAGGTGTTCTTTGCGTAGACAAAGACTTTCGCATGTTCAAGGTTTAGAGCCTCAAACTTCAAACCCTTTGAGTCCACGTCTGCACTCCTACAACCAAGACCCCACACTACACAGTACCGCAAACCTTTAACCAGGAAGGCCATCTACACCCAATCGAAATCAGGAGACAGTACCTCCGAGCAAAGCGAAAGCACCGCGGCGGCGCCGACCAGCCGAAACATTGAAGATCAGCTCGCAAAGCAAAGGCGTAAGGAGATACCTGGCTGCCAGCTGGCGTTTCGGGGCGAGTTTTGATCCAACCGCTAAGTCTTGCTCGCATGGGCATAGGCTTTTCGAGTACAGTACTCAGGTACGCCTAAAGCCCTAAAGCTTTTGTGCGGAGGCTTGCAGCAGGGCGGGGGGATGCACGAGCAAACCTTGAGCCCACTGGCCAGTCTAGGCCCAGGCGCATCTGCATCTCGACACTGACGCTCCAAAGGTGGCCGATGCCTGGGCGGACTACTCCCCCGCCGGTCAACTGTACTGAATTCGCTCAGGAAGTTCAAGGTAATCTGGTTCCCTCTTGGGGCTATAGTAAAAAATGATCACAGTTAATCCTTGTTGGGTTTTATTCTCACAAACTACAAAAAATTGTAGGCAACAAGGACCCAGTAATGAAAAAAAGCGCAAAGCCTCGGGCAGTCCAACTTGAGGGCAAGGTGCCTGTGATTCCGAGACTGTTCCGGAAGAAGTTTTGCATCAAAATCCTTGGTTTCACAGAACCCCGCAAGCAAGGATTGCTGGCAGAAGCTGTCTGCTCTGACCTTCAAACTTCTCCATGCTGCAGCAACTATTTTCAATACCAAACATCTTATATGGCACCCCACAAGAAGCAGCGCTGCAGCCCGGAGCACAAGTATGGCCAGGCCAGGTCCGACCGCCAGTGCAGCGCGAAGTCTGGAGAGCCTTGTCTTTATGATTAAAATCAGAACAAATACTTATCGCTAATATCAGTATATCACAGTACTTCTGATTCTTGCATTATCATTAATACTGCTGATGACACGAGTGAAAAATGTGATGATGGTGATGATGATGGTGACGGTGGTGGTGATGATGGTGGTGATGGTGGTGGTGATGGTGGTGAAGAACATGATGAGGAAGATGAGGATAATGAGGATGATGATGGTGATGGTGATGATGACGATGATGACGATGAGGAGGAGGATAGGTTTAAGCATGTTATTGTGCTGACTATTGCTATTCACAGTGTGTTAATTGTTATTCATGCTTATTGTTGTTGTCGGCATTACGATTGTTATGGCTCTTACGATTACTAATGCTAGTGTAACATGTAACTGTGACTATTCTGTCTCGTGTTCTTCTCTCTGTTGTTACCATCATGTCTTCCTAGGTTCTTTGGTGCGTGTTGGGATGGCTGCGACTTTTCCTCTTGCTTTGCGGTTTCGCTGCCTACTTTCCGCGGGTTTCTGGATCCGGAGAGCCCGCAGCCATGAGGAAGGCGGTGACCACGGCAGCGACGACCATGGGCCTTGATAACAGCAACAATAGAAATAAAACCATGTATAATGGTGATAGTAAGAACAAGACTAATTAACAAGCAAAAAATCAAAAGCACACAACCAAAACAATAACAATAGTATCTAATTATAGTCAGTGACCAGTACAGATAGGAATCATCTCAATTAATAAGACCAAAACAAAGCATCAATGTTTCTACGGGGGCAATGCATGGCTTTGGGCGCTTTGCAGGCCCGGGCGGCCAGATACGAAAGAAGCGGCGCAGGCAGAAGAGAGCCGCGTGAAGCGGGCGCGGAAGCCTCGCGCAGCCCAGGTTTCGTCTCTGAGACTCTAGAGCACAGCTGCTCAGTGCCAGCATGCAGTGCAGCAAGAATTCGATGCCTCGCGATTCGACGAAATCATTGACGAAATCAATCAGTGCGCCTCTGAACATCTTTCTGCAAGTAGGCGCTGCCTTCAGCAAGGGATGTTCTTGGCAGGCCAGGCACTTCTCCGGGGCCCCTTGTTCCTTCTTCGAAGCCACGACGCTGCAACTGCTGAACTCTACACGAAATCCGGGGAGACCGCAACAATTGTCCAAGCTGCTGATCAGCATGCCGCTAAGCACGAGAAAGGCATCGACCCCGGTGTTGCCTGAAGACTGCAGGGTTCCGGGAGCATGGGAAGCGTGCCGATGCTGTGGGAGGTGAAGTCTTGAAGCCTAAACTCTCCCAAAGCCGCCTTGAAGAGCAGGCTGGCTCCGCCACTGCAGCAGAACTCCTTTGCGGAGCTTGGGATCGGCAAGCTGCTCTCCGGTATACCTGAGGCCGATGCCGAGTCTTCTCTACACATCCAAGAAACTGGATCAAGCTGATCCCAAACTCTCGCCTCTGCGAAAGCCAACAAAGTACACAAGGCTTTCCTCGCTCTGAGAAACCGGAGACCGCTCCAGGCCGAGGCGCACATTCACAAACTCCGAGCGGAAAGAGTGAAGCGCAAAGACCCATCTGAGCGTCTCTACAAGCTAAAGTACTGGTGCTCGCAAAAGAAGCAACACATGCAGACGAGTGCCGTCCCGGTGGAGCGGCGATCTTCTTTCAAGTGGCTGACTTCGATGACAAGTAGATTCTCTTCGGAAAGGATCTGAAGTGATTGACGGCTGTTTGAAAAATCGCTGCTTGCATTCAGTGGTGATGCTGATGCCAGGCCCACCGGAATGGCATGGTCAAGCAACATCTGTTGGTGCATGCAGTTGCCTGCTTGTCTGCGGACCCATAACATAACAGTTCAAGCCGACCACCAGCAAATCCTGCTTTCCTCTGCTTTGTTTGGCCCAGAGCACAGAAGGGCAAAACAGCGCACGCCATCCAGCGCCGCCAGGCGCCCTTTGTCGGATGCTGCGGCGCCTGGTTTCGAGCAGTCGGCGTGGGATGGCGTGGGTCTGAAATGGGGAGTCCGAGGTCGCAGTTGCCCCGCTGTTGCTTTTCTGGCCGACAGGACAGTCTGCTGTAGCTTTTACACATGCTGCGGCTACTTTTGTACCTTGAAACTCCTGGAATTTAGCTCGTGCATCCCAAGGTGTCTTTGCTTTGCGTAGCACCTCTCCCAAAATTGAGCGTCTGCAGGATATGCTTAACTTCGACTCAGGCACCGCAGCAAATAACTCGCTTCAGGTCTTGCCATGGAGACAACACACTGCCGGCCATGTTTGCTGTCAGGATTGTCAGGTATTGTCAGAATAAACTGCACATAATGACGGCCAGCTCACTCGTGCTTTACTCTGTTGTCCTACTCCTGAGATGCAAGTCTGTACTGCTAACCTATGTAGTCACCCTACCTCCAGCCACCGTCCTCGTGAGCCACACGGAAGTTCACGAATAGCTCCGAACCGCATGTCCAAAAAAGTCCAAACCTAGGTTTCCGAAGTGGCAGCCTTGAAGGCAAAGATCTGGAGGTATGAGTACAAAATCCGTGGAAGAGTGGTCGGGTGGGCAGCTGAAGTCACCTCGGCTCCTCTTCGCAAAGCGGTGACGGAGCGGATGTGCATGGATTGTATAGGGATGAAGAAGCGACTCAGTCGCCAAGTTTCGCCCTTCTCCGTGCTTTAGGCAACTTGGCGGCGAGGTGCTTCCGAGACTCCCTAAAATGGCCTGTCCCGCAAGGAACTGTGCCCAAGAGTAGGCCTCGAATAAGAATGGATTGACCTGGCGGTTACTGCAAGAGGGTTCGATATTCGCAAGAGCTGAACGGTAACTGCCAGGGCCCAAGTGCAAAGAAGAGTGCACCTCTGCCAGGATGAATCTGAGAGCTTGCCAGATGTCTCTTGGCTTGGAGTATGTTGTTGCACATTGCGTCATTTTGTCAAAGAGATCACCCGACACTGGAGAGAAGCGAGGCCTTTGGCCTTTGACAGCGCTTTCAATCGCTCAGATTTTTCCAAGCTCTGTTGCTCGCTCCTGCAGCACAGATCCGATTCCTACCTAGGCCTTGCAGTCGCCTTAGCGTCTCCATGAGCGAAGTTGAGTTCTTCCCTGGTGTCCTTCGCGGCCGTCACTGCAGAGATCACCGCATTCCGGAAGCCGGTGGCTTCCAAGGTGGTGGTCCCTGGCAGAGTTACTTTGAGAAGTCGGATTTAGAATCTAGGCTCCATTATTAAAGCCCGCCCTTTTCCGCTCCACCTCTCGAGGCCTAGACGGGGCCCGAAGTAAGGAGGCGCCTGCGATGGTCGTACCGCCGGGAGACTCCACAGCATTTCGGAGCTGGGCGGGATGCCTCAAGAAGCGGTCAAGAGAACTTCAGGGACATTTGATACAAACACACCAAACATGCCTGCACTGATCCGATGATGGGTCTTCGATTGGAACTGCTGCCTATAAGTCATGGGGACAGGTTGGGAGGATTCTCGTAGCGAAAAAGGTTGCTGGGTATTGAGATACCTAGATTGCATGGATCCCAGCCCAGCCGCTTGTCACCCGCGATTGTCATCTTGGCTGCGCCCATGACCTGCAGGTGGCCGGCTCGAGCCATGCCATGAGGGGGAGTCTCCCAAGAGCCTCCCTGCCCTGAAAGCGCCTAAAAGTCGGCGCATGGGAGCTGTCGACAAGAAATCGACCCCTTAAATGGCCCATGCCCCAGGAACCCGGGAGACGACATTGAAACACGTGCAATGCCGGCCCTTGACGGAGCCCCTGAGTCCAAGCCCGACCAACTTTCAACTCAACCGATGCCGCAGACCGTCTGCGCTGCCAGCTTCAGCGCCACATCCCGGGTGAGGCCATTCCTGACCTTGACGCATCCGTGCAAAGTTGGGCGGGTTGGTCCGCAGGTTTGGATTCGAGAAGGGCCGCATCGCTAGTGGTTCAGGAGCTTGGGGGGGGGGCTTGCGACATGCAGAGTTGACACTTCTGAGTTCCAACTGTGTTCCCGTTCCTGCCAGCTGCTCCGGTCTCCAACTCTACATGATCGGCAAGTACCTTGGGGCTTGCAACGTTGGAAGGACCGAGTTGATGTTCATCAGGGCATGTCGTTTCAAACCTCGTGCCAACAGACAGCAGGCTTGCACTTGCGCCAACCTCTGAGCCTTGGGCGCCACCATCTGCCATGGCCTCGATCATCATGTACCTCAGCCAGCTCAGCCAGTCTGATCGGAACCACTCTCGGGCCGATCGTGAGTTGACAGGCAGCAGATGTCCAGGAGTCATTCCAAAACGCAGGCTTGCCATCAGAAAAGCAAAGGTGACGAACACTTCGCGCCGATGCTTGAAAAGCTGATTCCCCAGACCCCCCAACCCGAAATTGTACAACGCGAAACTCCGAAACCCCCCAAGCCTGAGCTTTAGAAACTCTGACAACACAGAAGCCCTACGGCTCAGGCCCTGAAAATTCCAACCCCCCAAAAACCCAAGCCCCGGATGCGCCCTAAGAGCCGAGACATCTGGGTGCCCGGGCACATAGGCCGGGCCGCTTCCGGACAGCCCGGTTACGGCATCCTCTCGGCTTGGATGAGCTCTCAAGTCGAAGAAAGCTTGGCAAGAGTCGGGCGCTCAGGGCTTCAGGGTCTTTACACTTTAGGGCTTTAGAGCGAAGGTCTACAGGCTTGTGTGTTACATTGCATGGCTTATAGGGTTCAGAAGCTCATAAGGCTCAATCCTTGTAGGGTGTACAGGGCTTGAAGAGATAAGTGCCATGGAAACCTGTACCATGAAATGCAGGCACCACCAAGAGTTGACAAGTAGCAGGCATCACTAGTGGCTCTGGTCCAGAAGCTTCTCGTCGCCCAGCTTCTCACACACGCCGACTGCTGACATCACCTCGAAAAGAACAAACGCATGCCTTTAGCAAGAGCACTGGCCAACTGCAGCACGCTACTCCCTACCTGGTGCTCCGTCTGTCTTAGCGGAGGCTTGCTAGTCTCGAGCCGGAGACCTCTTCAAAGGCCCAATCAGCGTAGATCGATTTTGGGATAATCCGGCACTCGATACCTCCTCTTGGTATAGCCGGAAGTCTCTTTGATAATGCCCTAACTCTATGGCCCCCCGAAGTCCCAAGGCCGGGGCTTTCTCGACGATGGCGCCATCCGTCGGCAAAGCACCGGGCCCAAGCACCTGCCAAGCGTAGCGACTCGAAGCGTAGCGGCGCAGCTTGAAGGCGAAACCAGAAGGCAGTCTCAAGATGGAAGATCTCGGCAGAAAAATCGTGATCAGCCCAGAGCGAAGTGTGGAGAGACCGTGGCACGTAGGCCGATGCGCCGAGGCCGACCAGCGCCGGGGTGTTCGGCATCGTCCGGGCCTCTTGCACATCTGAGTAGAGCGCCCCCCCACAAACGGGGAGAATGGTAGCTTCTTGTACAATACTATACGAGTATACTTCTCTTGCCGAACACCAGGAGCCTCCACTTGTGAGGTTCACTCAGTAGGGCGACCTGAACCTCAGGATCCCGAAAGATCTACCTCGTCCTTCAGCCGCCATTCCAATCCCGGAGCACAAGGCATCAAAAGGCACTGGGGGAAAGCCGGCACCATTCCAGCACTTAACTGTGAGAGCCCTCGAGTCCCAGACAACTCGTCTGAGGCCCATGTCTGCAAGTTTCTGGAGGGTCACCTGATCGTCAAAAGGATCACGCTGAAAAGCCCATGTACAAATGAAGGTCCACCATCGGATCGTAGCGAAGCATCGGTGTCGCTTGTACGAAGATGATAACTGGCCATCGCGCTCGTCTGATATGCTGCGATTTGGGCTGTGCCTGGCTTCAGGTGCTTTCCTCTACTTATCATGACTACCTTGACGACATTCGAGCAGATCGCTAGCAGCAGAAGCAGTAGCTTTGCAAAGTCTCGGCGGTTTCTGGCGCCAAGGAGCCCCTGCCATGATCGAGACGAAGAGCGGCGAGTCGCTACCAAGGTTCAGCCCGCCTTAGGAGGAGAACGGGCCTCAATTACGATAGAAGACTGTCTTGCTGGGCAGCTTCATTGATAGCTCACTTGTTGATGCCATCGAGGCTCGCGCGAACCAATTCAGCAGCTCCACAATATCAATAACATTAGCGTAGTAGTAGTAGCAGTAGTAGTAGTAGTAGTAGTAGTAGTAGTGGTAGTAGTAGTAGTAGTAGCAGTAGCAGTAGCAGTAGAAGGAGGAGTAGTAGTAGTAGTAGTAGTAATAGTAGTAGTAGTAGTAGTAGTAGTATTAGTATTAGTATTAGTAGTAGTAGTAGTAGTAGTGGTAATTAGTAGTAATAGTACTAGTAGTAGTAGAGGTAGTAGCAGCAGCAGGAGCAGTAGCAGTAGCAGTAGCAGTGGCAGTGGCAGTAGCTGCAGGAGTAGTAGCAGCAGCTGTTGCTATCGTCAGAAGCAGTAGAGGTGGCGGTGAAGGCGGTGGCGGCGGTGGTCTGGGTGGTGTTCACTGCCACTGCCGCTGCTCTTGGTACTCGTCGCTGCTGCTACTGCTGCCGCTGCTGCCACTGCCGCTTAAGTCCGCCGAGGCCGGAGGCCTGGAACGTCTTGATCTGCTTCCATTTTCGACTTGTTGGGTCAGTTTTCCTCCAGGCCCCACTCTCACACCTCCCCCTCTCCTTTCTTGATGCCGGCTGGTAACGCGTGAAAAACACTTCTTCTGGCAAGCTTTGCCCGCTCCGGCCTCCGGCTCTCACGCTTGCGAATAAGTATGATTGCTACCATCGGCTCCAGTCGGTCTGACACAACCAAGGAGAACACAGAAATGATGATGATGATGGTGGTGATGGTGATGGTGATAGTGATGGTCATGATGATGGTGATGAGGAGGAGATGAAAAGGATGATGACGATGATGAGGGTGATGATGACGATGATGATGTTGATGATGATGATGATGATGATCACGATGATGATGAGGGTGATGATGAGGATGATGACGCTTATGAGGTGATGATGATGATGAGGATGATGATGATGATGACGACGACGACGATGATGACGATGATGGTGATGATGGTGAGGGTGACGATGATGATGAGGAGGATGAGGAGGATGAGGAGGATGAGGAGGAGAACGAGGAGGAGGAGGAGGAGGAGATGATGGTGACGATGGGGCTTGTTACTCACTGTTGCCAAAGGCTGGTGGTGATGGTGGCAACTTCGCGAAAACGACTTTTGCTGAACAGGAGCTCAGCGCTGCTGATGCCACCTGCAGCCAGCTATAAAGAGACGCTCGAGAACATCAACAGCTGGAATAGGAACCATAAGCCAAAAGTAGTCCCACACCAGAAGGATAACCGCTATATGATTTTTGCTCGAAGTACCCTCAAGGAGGGTTGTTGGAGCGAAGTGCAGATGCTCCCTGGCCCCAAGAGATGTGTTCGTCGCAGCTCAAGGGCTTCGTTAAACTGTTCCCCTTCTCCTTTCGTGGCGAACCCCGGTCTTTGAGGCCTGCGGCTTCACGGCCAGGACTACAACACCGCCGGCGCCCATGGAGCTCACGACCTGCCCGGATCACGCCGGAGGCACAGCGTAGCTGCTTTACACATCCGGATCCTTCGCCACCTTTTACACCTTGCTGCTGGAATCAAGACTCAGCTCTGGCCCGACTGACCTCGGCATTCGAGGCCGTCGTGCGGACGCCGAACCTCAGCTTCTTGCGACGCTTGCGATGTCTCCGAGGTTGCACAGCCCAGAAACAGAAGCTCAAGGGCCGCGAATTTTGGCAATAGCTCCAGGTCGAAACATGCCATGTGACTCACCGGCTTGGGTTTCGAAATGCTTCAGAAACTGGCTTTCCCTGCACACGGCAGCCACTCAGAATCGCGCTTGCTTTCAAGGTATGCTCTTCTGGCCTGACCGACGGCGAGGAGACAACACGACGATCGTGATATGTTACCCAGATTGAAAAAGCCTAAATCGGCGCCAAGAGTTTGGAGCAGCCAGCACGGCAAAGCCACTTGAATCAAAATCTCTGCTCGAGCAATGTCCACATTCCCTGTTGTTCGAAAACAGCCTCCTTCACATGATTACTCGCCGTGCCGCATGATCGGTCGCGCCTCCACGGGCTCACTGACGAGCGCTTTGCTCGCCTCCACGGTTGCCGTGCTGCTGAAAACGGCCGGCACAGTGAAAACAACAAATAGTCCCTTGTCTCAGCAGCAGTGTTCTTGACAAGAAGCACACTACACTGATTCTGGAGATGCCTAGAGGACGTTACCTTCGTGGAGTTATGGCGAGAAGTTTCATCTTCATGGCTCCGGGGTCCGGATGCTGGCAACTTCACACTGCGGTATGGTATTTGGTATCGATAATGACTTCGACCAAGGTCGCACTTGAGTCGGCTGTAAGTGACCTGGCACCTCCTGACTCAAGGCTTACCTTGTCTCAAACAATTCTGCTCAATGGCTCTATGATGGATTTCCTCAAAAAGCACGCTACGAGCCCGAGTCTCCGCCTCTGCAGTGCCCTGGGCCAAGAGGCCACCAAGCAGCGCCTCACACCTGAAGCTTTCACCGGGGGTCTCACTGAGGAAACCCCATATTAATCTGTTTGATTCCTGGATATACCTGCATCAGTTAAGATCCATTGCACACTACCTAAGTTGCTGCGCGACGCGTTTCACTGCTCTCCACGCCTGAGGAAGTGCTACAGCGGCCACCCTCTGGACGAACGGCAGTGCCAATGGAGGGCGCTCCGGACAACACGATTCTTGTGACTGGCCCGAGAGAAACTCGTGTCTGAAATGTCTGGATCACTCCACTGACTCTACTGGTAGTGAGTGATTATTCTGCGAGCTTTGACTTCGGCCATGTCGCATCTGGCCGCCTCCCAGAAAGCCGATCGTGAGCGGGGCCTCCAAAGCAAAAAAAGCCAACTCACCGCGGGACCGCAGGGGCAAAGGGATCGGAAGGGAGCTCGTCCTTGGGAGGCTGTCAAGAAAACCGAAATCATCCTACTACGATGCCTGCGCCATGGCTGCAGGCTCTCAGCACGAAGCTGCGCTTGAGCCACAAAATCTGCGGGACAAATCTTGCTACCAAATGATCGCCGCAAGGGCCACTAGCCACAGTGCCGGACTAGACGGATACGTCCGAAAACACTGCGATTGGTTCCCGCCCCTCTTCCAAATCTACCGCCCCTGCCCCACTCAAGCCCAAAGCTCATGAAGTCGCTCCACGTACATATCTTCAGAAATGCTCCGAAGTAAAGGCGGATTGCCTGTGATCTCATCAAGCTCCTGGCTGCAGATCACCTCTGAGTTGTTCTGCCGGAGCTGCATGAAGCGCTGAAGTGGGGAACCTTTCGGGCTCAGCTGTCCACTCCGTACTTTGAGGCTCCTTCTTGCCCAGACCTCCTTGTTGGAGGTAGCTCAGCAGCAACGACCTTGGAAGCGTCACTCTCTGCAGCTGCTGTATCCTGGAGCAAGACCCGAGAAGCTGGAGTTTCCTCGTGACTGGAGTTCAAGCCTTCGGCCAGACATCTCAGAGCCATGACCGCTCCTAACATGCTCAGAAATCCGTCCTAGCATGCTCGCCCTCCATGTTTGGCTGGAGTCCCCTGGGCGCTCGGGCTTCTCTTCCTCCTTCGTCGCCTGCGCCCTGGTTCCGCACGGTGGACAGGTCTAGAATCTAGAACTTCATTTAAACGAAAAGCGAGATTGTGGTGCACAAGAGAAGCAATCCAGAGCCAGCTGTTACTCCGGACCGCAGCGTATCTCAGCTTTCGTACTAAGGTTCCCTTGAGAAAAACATGCTTGATCCAATGAACAGCCCAAAGCAGAAATCGTATCTATATCACAGGCTGTCGTATACAATGCTTACAACCGTTTGCACCGGCTGGAACGCCTTTTGCAGCTGTGGTACATAAGTACGGTACATACCACGTCCGAATCCCAGAAAGGTCTCCCGGGCCTCTCCACGTCCATCTCCGGAATGATCGCCTGGCGGCTTCTGGTGGCTTTTTCGGAGAGCCGCTGTTCTCAAGACTCGCAATCTTCTGCAGGCCAATAAGACCGCCCGGTTCAACTACACATAACATTTGCCAAGCCTGCAACATGTGCAAAGGACACAATATGAGGCAGTTGAAGCAGGTCTTTTCCTGACAGCCAGGCAGCACAGCCTGTCGGGCTGTCTCCAGAGCTGAGCCTTCCTTTGAAGGCGTTCTTTTCGCCACAGGCGTGGCTCCGTGCAACGGCAATCCGCAAACGACCACAAAGTGTAGTCGACGCTGTCAGATGCTAGAGGAGGGGGGACCATGAGGACCATCCTGCCTGCCCCTCTGCCCTAGAGAGCGAGGGACTCAGCAAAGGTCGGGATCACTGCTCGCCAGGCTCCAAA